GATTTCCTGAATACATTAAGATTTGCTTTTCAGAACCTTTTAATGCGTTATGTGTTTATTGAGATTGAGGTAATCTTCGTGAACCTAGTACGTAAAGATTACAAACACTCTTGTTAATTGGAATTGGAATGACAGATATACTTTAAGATGAGAACTAAATGGACCTTTACATTACAGCAGAACCAAAAATTTTTTTATTTGATAAGATATGAAGTCCGAACACGGCCGGTGTGACCCGTCCGCAGGGGAAGCTCACGCCTCCATGGCACCTAATCCCACCTATGATATTTTAGAGGTACATGCTTACTCTTCTCCAATATTGTATTGTTTAATGGATTTTTGATATTGAATACTGTTCGTTATCTGCATATATGTCATACTTCAGAAAAAAAAATATCTTGAACAAAAATATATTGATGACTAGAAATGCATGTAAATTTTATATGGGATCGATGTACGTAATAAAGCATATAAAAGGTATACTAATTAAACTGCTAGTCAATAGCGGAACTCAATTGCTATTCGTATGTTTTCACTTCAAAGAATTTTATTTCAAAGACTGAAACTTTTTGTAATCCCCGGGTTCCCTGCACTGCATTCTTGTAAAACCAGAAATCGATTTGTATGGTATATAGCTGGATCACTTGTGTCATTAATTTCTTGGCATCGGATTGCCACACAATTGTTACTAAGCCAGAGATTCATATGGCAATTGAACAAGGAAGGACCGTTTAGGTATGTGATTTAAATTAATACCTCTTATTAACTATCCCTCTTGACTATCTTTTCTTGATAGGTTTCATGTTTATAACCATCGTTTTGCAAAGAATTTTTATAACTGAAGGATGAATGCCTGAAATTGAAAAAAGAAATCTACAAATTAATTTTAAGACACCAATTTACTTGGTCTTTTGCATGCATACAATTGCCAAAGACAATGTTTATTCATTTTTTTGCTTTTTTTTTCATTTCTTTAAAGAGCTGTGAGTTTCTTGGTCCTATAAAAAAAATTATTTTATTAGTTACCTTTATATGATTTTTTTTATTATTAAAAGGTGTAAATGTCAGCAAAATTTAATAAGTAAAATTATGTTCAATAAAAGTTAAGACAAAAAGAATAAATCTTTATGGAAGTGTATTCAAACTTGTATTTATTTTTTTAAACAAATCCCCCAAACTTAAGCTGAAATTTCAGTTTGCCTGATATATTGGAAAACAATAAAAAGATAATTAACGTATCCCACAATTGCCTTCATTTCTGTAAATATATGATCAAGATGGATTGTTTTCCTTGATGATTGGGCTCAACTAGGATATATGGATAAGTAGTCCCGGTAAAAATATTTTCATACGCCAAATTTGAATTAATGCGCCTTGCTTTATAATCGGATTTATGCGCCAAATTCGAATTAATGTGCGTTGTTCATATTTATCAATACAAGTAAAGGAAATAATTACGAGCAAGGAAAAATTGATACATATACCGGTATATCCCCCTCAATTAGATGAACTTTTGTGCACACGAAGGGTTAACAGGTCGACTTGTTGACACATGATCGGGTCGGTGGGTGTGGTCTACGGGTTGCTCCATTTTGACATGTTGACGGGTTGACTCGGGTAGACAGGTCACTGGTTCTTCACATATGACAAGTATGATAGACTGGTTACATAATATATAGGTCGACGGGTAGACGTGTCGGCAGGTATACGGGTTGACAGGCTAATTTACTGACAACAATATGTTCTATTAATTGATTATATCCGATAATTATTAACGAGCCAACTATTCTGCGTCAATCATTTTGTTTGGCAATTGCAACTAACCCTTATCTCTCTGGTGGGGAGTAACCTTAATCTCTCAAGTGCTTTATAAAATGTTGCTAAACCTTATCTAAAGCCTGATATGAAATTAAATTCTCAAGTGAATTTGAAAACTAATTAAATTTACAATGGATTTGAAAATTAATAAGAGGTGTCAAAATCACCTGCCATATTGATGCAATAGGTTAACCAATAATATAATCAGACATTTAAGCTTTAGGGTGACACTGTTGATTAAGAGGTGTGCTAAGACAAGCCACCATTTTGATGTCAATGTAGGTTTAAAATAAAAATTTAATTTGTATTTTATGGACTATTTTTAAAAGGATTTATTTGAAGTAATAAGGCAAAATATTTTCAATATTATATAAAAGGAACTATTTCTTATCAAATTCTAAATTTAAAAGATGTTAATCGGTTTTATAAAGAGTTTTCGAAACATCGAACTTTTGAATTTGATTTTGACATTCGCTTAGATATAGTGGCCAGTTTGAAACAATATGGCTCTTCATCGACAGTTTAATTGGCTAACAAATAATGTTGACAGTAGTAATAGAGACGAGACAATCCAATCAAAAAAAAAAACTTAACATGTAATGAAATCAAAGAACATATTGCTACAAGGAATTGTGCTGATACTTCTAAGATCTTTGTTTCTGTGCTGTTTTTCATGGTAACTATTATCCATTGCTTTCTTGTAATATGATTTTTCTGAATATTTTTTTTATGAAATAAATAAACACAGATCAAGGAAATGCAAACAATAAATAATCTGTTCTTCAAAATAGTCCTATTGTTTATTGATTACTTGTACTGTATAAAGTCTCTGATATCCATACTGTCATTTGAACTTTATTTTCGCGCTCCAGCAAATTGTTATGGGTTTTTTGGGATTCCGATAAGTAGCAAAAAAGCCAATAAACAGAGAGCTTTCCTCTTGCATGCTTCATAAAATCGCGACCATCAATGATTAAACCTCTAAAGCGAAGATGCATCTTATCTTAAGGGCAGGAAAGGCAATTTTATAAATGAAGTCATATGATTCTTTCGGACTTCCATCGGGGAAATCTTTCCATCTTTCGGACAATTCCCTCCTCCGAGTCTTTAAAATGGTTTATATATTTCTCTTTCCTCTTTGATGAAATTCATTGATCAGTCTATGTAATTTCCCCCTGTTTGACAAATCTAGTGTTAATTTCAAGCTAATTTCATCAGATCAATTTCATTATGATTGGAAGTGTCTGGTAAAAATATATGCATCATTGTCAAACTACATAAAAATTAAGCTTTATAACTATAAATTCATCTGTTCGAAAAAAGGCTAATAAACTTAATAAAATCTAAAACTACAAAGAAGTAATCAAGAAATCTCGTAAGAGTGATAAACGAGATCGATATGTAATCGGAATGGCCTTTGCACAAACTGTATCGATGTAACAGTATAAGATTTATTTTAGGCAGTACTTATTGGCTGCATTATCGTAAAATGTTGTCTAATATCAATATCTTATGGTTTGTAAATCGTTTTAGTAGATGCATCGTTATATGGTAGTATTCGAGAAAAAAAAAACTTTCCAGTGACCATTTAATATTTCTTAGCACATACAGCATCTTTATAAAATGAAATATATAGAGATAAAGAACAGTATACGAGCTCAAAAGTCCATTATACAGTATAAAAATTGGAGCAGAACAAACACGGACCTCCAAAACATCTGGCCCCAAGACCATAAACTGAGAGCAGACTTAAGTCAAAAATTTAAATCAATATAACTTTGAAAATACTTTTGATATGAAAACAATTTTTAACATATGTTTAAATTGAAATACCGGTATTATACAAGCCTACAAATTCATAAGTATATTAACAAGCAATTCAAAATCAAAATGTGTTCAGATATATCATAAAATATACTATGTAATGTAAACTATAAACTAAATTTATATTTTTTAATCATAAATGTGTTTATATCTACAAACTATAAATGACTTAACCTTTTATATTTTGTAATTTATTTCATACAAAAGGAAATCTTAACTAATGATTCATTATCAAGCACAAAGTGCCATTTGCATGTACATTGATGCATGTATAAAACATCTTTTTTTCATGAAAGAAATGATGTTTTGAAAGAAATTTATTTAAGAAAATAGAATAAGCTTGCTCAGAAGATCAATTGCTACACAAATTGAGAGCAGAGCAAACGCAGACACAAAATATCAATATTGGGATTAGATGCAATGGAGTATTAGGCCTCCCTTAGGACCAGTCCTGATCTGCCCTTTGTCCTGATAAGATGGAAGGAGATAAATCAGAATAATTGCATAACAATCTGTATTTAATACGTCAATCTAATAAACTGTAATTGTAAACTACGTCAGAAATTCGACCACTTTTAAACGATTGTCTAAGTATGATTTCTGCGACTGAACAAATACTTCATCACAGAAATATCTCAAATGTATCATAACAGGTTCTGATTATATCTTTCTTTTAGCTTATAGGTTGCATATTTTGGGACGAAAAACGTAACAAATCTCTTGAATTATAATTTCCCAGAATATTGATAACGGTATACATTACAGTACTACGACAGACTTTACATAACATAATCATAAAAAAAACCATTGCAATTACCCTACGACCTCCTATGCAAAAAAAAAAAAATAAAATTCAAAGCTTTAGGTAGGACAAAATTTTATCTTATTGGTACGGTCGCGATGGCTTAGTGATAGGAGGCTCGCTTTGTGATCGGTAGGCCCGGGGTTTAATTAACATTCGCTGTGCCGCATGGACCTAAGTCTTCAGCACTAGTGAGGGCTCTTTCAAAAGGCTCTTCTGGAAAGTTACCGATTCATCCAATATGATCTTAAAACTTACGTCCTCTTTTAGTGTAGGGGGGTACATTAAATAATCATCACTGCTCATTAAATTTGTGTGCCAAGTATAGGACTAAATTTGAAATTCTTCAATGGTACATGTATTTAATGAGCTATCATATGAAGGGAAACATTTAGCAAGTGACATAAAAGTACAATGAATCAATTTATTTATTGCAGTAATGTGAAATATGTTGGTAATTGATATTGATATAGATATAGGTCTTGATAAATATAAAACATAGAAGTTAAATGCCTATGGGTTAAAATCACGCATGATGATATTTTTTCAGGGATAAGCATCTACAATGACGATGGGTAAAGAGAACATGACAACTGAAGCATCAGCACAAGACATCGGTGGGGTGTTCTCGATATTTATAGAGATTGTCACCATCCTTGTGAATATCTTACCTTTGTTGGTTGTTACTCGTGGAAAAACATTTCGAACACGATCCACAACGGAGGATGTAATTCTAGTGCTTAGTTTACTGTACATTTTCTCAGCTCTGATTCCATCTCCAATGGCTCATGTCAGTTACTTCAGCAACACTTGGATTGGAGGCGAAATAACGTGTAAATTGTATCAATTTCTGGTGCACACTTTGAGAACATCAGTGCTTTGTACTGTGGCAATATTGAGCTTGAATCAAACAATATATATTTTTCATTTTCTCAATATGAAAGACTACACATATTTACCGAGTGCCAAAACTAAAGTTATCTGCATCATTCTGTTAAATATCATTGGATGCATGGTTATACCGTTCATGCCTTTAGTTGGACTAGGACCGATGACTTACCGAAATGAGCGCTGTGAATTCTGGCTCTTCCAGAAAATTGAAAATGGAAATGAATATGCTTTTCTCATCTTATTTCTGTGTTTTGCAGCTTGTAATGTTCTTCTTATTTCAATATCCAATCTAATTTCGCTGTGTTGCAAGAACTTTATCAAAAGAAAAATGTGTATCTCAACGAGTGTTGGGGAAGAGGGTGGATTTCAGTGGCAGACAGTTGGAACACGTGTATTGACAGGGAATAATCTAGTTTTGGCAGTGTCTATCCCAGTTATTATTACCTGGGTACCCACTATGGTAAACTGACTATCATAAAACGATTGCTCAGAAGTGTACTTCCAAATATTTTCTCAATATTTTCCTTTTTAATTTTTTTTCTAAAAAGGATACACTAAAATATTTTCATAAAACAAGTTATTTTCGGAATTCGTGCAATATAAACGACAGTCACTGTTAGATTTAGATAATTTTTATACAATGATTAAAATATGTTGCAATTTTGGTAATATGTATCAGTATTGTATGACTCAGAGATTAAGGTGCGTGTCTTTCTTGTATCTTTTTTCCTTTGTAGATCCTGGTGCTTATGAGAGAACTTGGCGTTAATGTCAGTGCAGTATCGATTTTATACGCCTTACTTGGTACTTCCGTTTCCGGTTTGGTGAACCCAATCATTTATGGTCTATGTGATGTTAACTTCCGCCGACGCTATCGACGTTTATTCATGGCCATCTGCAACATCAAACAAATGGCACCAATAACTGGTAAAGATCTCATGTCAATTTAGTAGTCACGATCATATTCTTTTGTTTTACATTTAGTAATAAGAACAAACTGACAAACTGAGAGAAAATCAAAGTGACGAATGTGTTTGATAGCAACATAAAATATATGAACTTCAATATAGTTTGAAACCTTTAAATATTTCTACAGGATCATTAAAACCTTTCTTTTCCTAATTTTGAACGAAACTCATAAATGATCTTCAAGTAAACTCTGCATTGGTATAAAGTATAAACTTCTTCCTAAATATTGATATTCCAATCATAAGTGGGCTATAAATAACATATTTAGATCAAATAGAATATTTACGTTTTGTATCTCGTTTCCAGATTTTTTGACGACTGTAAATTATCACCCCAATGTCTTAAAAAAAAAACTCTCTTTTCCCCATCTTTAGGATATTTTTTCTTTTAAATAGATATTCCACCAGTTAAGGATACTCCAAAGATTTCACATTGGCGAAATTTAATTTGCATTTAATTCTTTTATAATCAAAGATAACATAATAAATATATATATCATCTGAAAGCTTGTTAAATTAAATGACCCTAATTTAAACTTTCATTTACAGCTTATTAAAAAATAATTTATATTTTTATGTAACTTATAGTGCATTTTTAGTTTATATATATTTTTTGTGTTTCACCTCTGAAAGTTATAATTTTGCCTCAAGGTAGATTTAAAATTGAACTTAAAACCGTATCTCAGATTTTTGACAATTCTTCTTTTAAAAAGGTTACAGCCATTTGTCCTTTAATTCTACAAATTCATTAGACTTTCTCTATATTTCCCTCAATAATTCCTGAACCATGCAAGATATAAAAAAATATAAGATAGAAATTTGTGAACACACATTCGATACACAATCTAACCAATTTCAGAGAAAATGGTTTATAAATAAGGAATCTGAATCATTTGAAATAATACCACCAACTGGCTGATCGTACTTTACAGTAAAGGAGCAACAACAATGGAAGGTTCTTTTCTTTATTCACATTATGTAGGTGTTTTTAATTCAGTGAAACAGGTTCAATTCTGAATAAGAATGTTTCCCCGGCAAAATAAGAAGAGTTCCACCTCCTAATTTATAGTCATAAATGACCTGTAAGATTTCCTCTCCTAACTCATGAGTCCCTGTAGTTTAATTACTGAAAACTTCTGTGTAGCTAGTGAAGGATCCCCCAACTGGTCACAGTGATTTATTTAATCTTTTATGAGCAGGCAGTCGCAGATCAAATCAGAAGCTTAAATAAGTTAACGGAACATTCACTTTTGGTAGTGCTTATGTTTCATTATTATTAAAAAGTTAAACCAATTCATTTTTAGCAAGAACTTTTCATGCTTTATTAACATAATTAAGCAGTTATTAATTTCTTTTCTTATCCAAAAAACTCAGCATTGTGACAAAAATCTTGCAAAAAGCCTTAGGTGTATCCTAAACTCAACAGTGTTCGACCTTACAGCAACACGTTGCGGCATCTGAATTGGATGAAATTTAATATATCAAACTTCACTCAGAAAAAGTCGGGGAGAGGGGTGCCAGTCTATATACATTGTACTGAATTGTCACTTATTTTAACTTAAGATGAAAAAAGCTTCATGGTAGGCATCATCAACAAGCTTTTCACGGCTGAAATATATACTCCTACAAAAAAGTCAACTCTGCACTTCATATAAATAATTGTTAAAAAAAGCAATTATCAGAACAAATCAAACTTTTCATTGGTTATTTTAAAATTTATTTTTAGATCAAGTTGTTACACGGTCAGCTTCCGGGGTAGAGACATTAACACCTGACAGGAGATCTCGTGGGAACGTACAATCCTCGTCCTCCGCGGGATTTCTAAATTCAGCATTTGATAGTCAAACAGCATCAGATTTCACATCCTACCAGCCATCAAAGAAAGTAGTAGATGTGACACTAAATGAGGAAACCTCATTGCCGTCAGAGGGAACTCAACTTCTTTCCGGTAAAAATGTACAAAACTCTGTTAGATCAAGGAATGGAGAGAAATCGTGCATGATTCCCGAAGAATCTTCCGCGGAATTTTCTGAGGAACTTGATTTATATGAGGAATTGACCTCTGGCGGATCTAGCGAACACGATGACAGCCTTGATGAAATAAATGAAACATTCATATAATGTTTATATATATGCTATATGCCTTTCCATGGGAGGAGGCGCTCAAGATTCTGCTGTTTCGGAGTGTTTATAATTCATAATAGTATTAATATTTCAATAATGAAAGATGCATTTATATATTCAAATGTTAAAATTCATAACAGTATTCATTTTTCAATAATTTAACATTGATATAATATATATTACATATTTAAATGTTATATATTCTTATCTTTGAAGATTTAGTTCAAAAGTTCTGTAAACCATATGTCTTTCCAAAGTTTTGAGATGAAATATGAAAAAAATAACGAACAAAAATCAATACAAATTGGGAGTAAAGCAAGCATGCACCTCTAAAAACATTGAAGGTGGGATCAGGTGCCATGGAAGAGTAAGCCGCCTCGTGCTCTTTGTCATGGTCGGTTTTTCAGACAGTTCAGTGTGTATATGATTGGCTACCAATTAGTTAGAAAATCATTAGTAAGTAAACTACTTAATGAATGGGGATTATGATTGATGACAAAATCATTTTATTGACCACTGAACTTATACATAGGGCGTCCCGATCGTTTATCTGGCGTAATAAATTTTAAGAATTATTGGAAAGATTTCACAGGCAAAGGGCGAAAGACGAAAAAGACCTTTAAGCTTTGTTGGAATGGATAAAATGAATGAGATGCATTATGAAAACCATCAATATCTCTGTCTTCTAAGATTCTAAAGTGAAGTAGAATTAAATAGACTACACGATGATTATGTTTTGTTCCCAAACGACGAAGCAGGTTCAAACATCGTCTTTGTTAAGCTCGTAATTTACATTGCATTTTTAGAGGAGCTGGGATTAGTAAGTAGTAATCAATCTTATACAAATAACTTCTTTTCCAAAGAGGGAATTCTTCAAAATTTTACTTCTGTTCTAAATATTTTCTGTATTCCAAATAATCAACATTATTTGCCTGTAATTCATTTATCTGTAAATTGTTATTGGTTAGATAACTATATGTACACTCCCACCAAATAAATATAAATAGCGGGTTCCAGTTAGTGTTTTACAAAGCCCTTTCCTTACCCTTCAATAAATTCTGAAGAGTATTGAAGGGGAAACCTCAGAAATACTATACAGTGTATTCAACGGCTGGTCGACAGGTGATGCTTACTCTTCCATTGCATCTTAACCCACTATTGATGTTTCTTGCTCCTATTTTGTTTAGCATTTGTACTGTTCCAAGAGATTTTTAGCCTTTTTACTATACGTTTTCATCATCATATCTCACTGTTCTCCTATACTTGTCTCAGCAAATGTTCTCGCTGAAACCTTTGACGATCTAAAAGATACATTATTGAAAAGTTAAGCTTCAATTCTTATTGTCCTTTTAACATGTTCAATATGTTTTTATTGTGTAACCTAGACCTTAGAAAAGGATTTCAGAAATGGTCACGAAACAAATAATTTCTTGGCACTCATTTTTATGGTGTTTCTTCGAAAGATTATTCATTACGCTGGCTCAGTTAGTAAAGCGGCTTAAAAATCTAAAGTTAATTGGTAGGCCTACATGTAGCAACTGTTCCTTTGCCGAGCCCAAGGCACTTTGAAGTGATGTTTCGGGTCCTTCGAATGAGACCTTGAAAATCGAGTCCGTGTGACACGGCAGGCATTGGGATGAAATGTTCTTTAACTGCTCATTAGCCTTAATTGCCGAGTAAAGATCTTAATTTGAAGTCCTTCAACGGTTATATGGCTCCTCTTTACGAGTGAATATTTCTTGAATGTGAGCTACGTCCACATAAATACAATCTATCAATCTCAAAATTTGGGAGTAAAACCTGCCAATTCGATTTATATACACAATCGAAAATACTAGTAACAAGAATTTCTTTTACACATATTCACAATTAGTAATTGCTTATTTTGAAGCTCACTGCTTGAAAGTTTAGATTGCTGTTATCGGTGAGTGTATATCTATAATTTGATTTGAAAAATAAAAAATACGGACGTAGTTTGATATTAAAAAAATAAAGGAATTTTCTTTTAAAAGTAAATTAGCAAGAGTACCGGAAGGAAAAGAAAAATAAAATTACGTGATATAATAGGTTAATATCCAAAAATTCTTTTTTTGAGAGAAATGGAAAAAAGAGGAAGTTGTAGAAAAATTTATTTTTGTGCATACATGTACGATGATGCATTTGTATTTCGATGCAGAGTATTGCACTAAAAATGGAAGTTATAACTTTATAGTACTGATACTCTTAAATTTACTTCAAAGTAATACAGTTTTCGAAATGTCAGCTTCACCACCTTCAAGTTCCGTCAATATGAAGAAAGATTAAGTCGTGAATAAAAGCACTTAAATTGTAATATACTGTTGTTAATTGAGGTAATATAAGTACAACAATGAACAACAGTTTATTAATGCTTTAGAGAAAAACATTATGCAATTGAGTATACCAAATGAAAATCAAATATAATTTATTACAGGCACATGACCCTGTTTAGATGACTTGAAAATGAAGGTTTATTATTATCTTTTTAATTTTTTAAGCTTCTTTTTCCATGAAAATTGATAAAGATATGATAAACATTGAAAAGATTTGTTGAAAGTGACACTTTCATTGTTTGAAATCATTCACTACATGTATTTTACTTCATAGATATATCTTGAAATGATTTTAGAAGGAAAAAAAGATATACGTTAAAATTGCTCTTAACTTGAAAGGGTTGAAATTAAAAACAAATCATTATTACAAATAACTACACTCCTCTTGCATAGTTCATTACTGAAACATCTTTTCACAGTTTTCCTTGAAGGGTCCGTGTAATAGTAGAAATTTATGAAAGGTAACGTATTTGGATGAATTTCTTTCGGAATATTGTTGATCAGCAGAGAAGCAAAAAGATGTAATTTATGGAGTATAATCTATTATCCCAAATCTGAATGATATTTTCACGTCTTAAGCAAGATTAATGATAAAAAATCGAGAAAGGTGTATCTATATTCATTGATAAATCCTTTTATAACTATTTGTCCGTAATGTTATTGATGGAATGCTTCGAATTCATAAATTAATAATCGATTTTAAGTGTAAGAACAGTTGAATCTTAAATATACAATTATGCATCTATGTGGTAGTGAGACGCCGCGCCTATTGGGAAATAAATACTTGATTTAATTCAAAGATGTGAGAATTTCTCATTTATTTAACATTTAAAATGTATTTTTAAAAAATTACCCGCTGAACTAGGATTGGGCACTTTTTAAGAAAAAAAAAAACCCAGCAACAACAACAACCTCTTCACCGAAAAGAAGTATTTCCTGAGTTTTTAAAATATTAAGCATTTTCTAACTACAAAAATCTTAAAATAGAACATGTTTCATTGCAGAGCATGTTTTTAAATCTAAAATGCTGACGATCATCACCAGTATTCTTAAAATATCATTCCTGCAGATCTTCCGTATCATCATGTACTTATCGGCAAATATAGTTCAACAGGATTTATCTAAAACAAACAATGTTGCATGGTTTTTCCCTGTTAGCAAAAGGTTCATCATGCGGTACAAATTATGGTATATTAGTTTTTGCTATTTATTACAGATATTTATTGTCAACAATGGTGCGTATTAAAATTTTTATTTTTGTTTTGTCTTTTTATTTGAAATTTTCATTATTTTAAGACGTTTGTATGGTATTGAAATGATAAAATTTTATTTCTAAATGTTTTCGAAATATCCACTGCGTGCATTCTAGGAAAGATTCAATCTCAAAAGTTTTATAGAGTATATCACAAAAAATTGAATGGATTTGACTAGCATGTAAAACAAGCTTTTATCCAAAAGTGATGCTACATGTAATTGCGCTATTCTCCAATTGTAGATGAATTTAAGGTACTGCACTTTTTAAATTGAAATATGTTCTTAGAAGCCAGAAAAATGTGATTTGTATAATTACATTTTGCTTTCCCTGTTGTGCAATTTTTCTGTCCCACATCACGATTTTAAGCAAAATTTAGGTATTAAGAATATTTGTCACACTCAAGGAATGTGCAGGAATTTAAACCTTTTCTTCAGAAGGGCTTCCTACCAATCAAAAACTTGTGGTAAAAATCATTGAAATCTTTTTCTAGAAAAATGGCCTCATATCCATTCCAAGTTTCTAAATGGATCGCTGCTATTAACCTGGACAAAATCTTCGACATTTGACCATGATGTCATGATCACCACCAACATTAATACTACAGACTGGATAAGAGTCAAAAATCCAAAATACGTGGTTAAAGATGTGCTGAATTTTACATTCGTGTCTATTAGAATACGCGAATATAGGTCTAGTGATTTGAAAAATCACGTTGAATCTAACAACACTTTTAAAGGTAAGAATTGCAGACTTATGAATACATGTCCACAACAAATTTTAAGTTTTCTTAAGTATAACAACTTAGCAATGCCTCCTCAAAAACAAATACACACAAAAACCTATGACTTTTTCTGCAAACCACGCTTGATTTGTCACTCAAAAATATACGTACATATATGTTTTAAAACAATGAGTCATTTTTGTAATATTTCATATTGTTATGTTGAGTTGCTTGAAGTATTAAACTAGGTGAGGCAACATGAAATAGTATGATACTAGAGCAATATTATCCATGTTTTTTTTCTTATTTCTTAATTATTTTCAGCTTAATACTAATAATTTTATATTCAAAAATAACTTTTAAAAATACAACGAACGGCTAACGGAGTTAACATAAAATAAAGGAGTTGAAAAAATTCAAATATATGATGTGAGGAAATAATATACATGGAAGATCCATTAAAGCACTCTCATGCATAACTGAATTAACTTTAAAAAAAAAATAAATCACAAAAAAGATAATGAAAGGAGAATTGTTATTAGCAAAAAATTAATCTGACCAACTTCTTCAAAAGGAAAATTCTAAAAAGAAATTTAAACAGAAATATATTTTTGGTATGAAATGGCAGGATTTCACTTATGACAGTTTCACAACCTTTCATAGTTGAAGTTATTAAATGCAAAGAGGGAGATTCTACGAATATATCATGGACTGTGGACTATTTCCCAGCTACAGGACACTACTACATTTATCATACATATGCCGACAATATATCAAAAATAATTGCAGTAGTTGGAGATGATGCAAGATTTGTTGAACCTTTCAAATACATTTTCTTCGGAAAAGATAACGACTCTCACAGCATAAAGTTCGCAGTGACGAATATAACAACAGCTGACGCGGGTTACTATACTGGCGGTGTATCGGAGTACGTGGCCTCTTCCTATGCAAATGGTGTGGTACTTCTTGTTCAAGGTACAGTACATAAATTCTGTTATATTTTCTTATACATATATACATTGTATATTTTACATTACACATATATTGTACATATATTTTGTTATATTTTCTTAATAAATATTGAAAATGCATATCTGTTCATAATCCTTATAACAAAAAAAATGTTTTAAATGAAGTATTTTGCATTATTTACGAGGGGTTATCAAAAAGTTCGTGGACTGAGGCTATAAAATTAATACAATGTAGTCTGTGCTTTCAAAATCGATAAGGAACATAAAACAATAAAAAATGAAGAAATGTTGAAAATTTTGGCTTGATATGTTCATTAGCTTCCAAATTATCATAAAATAAAAACGACAATATATGATCACCTGGCGCTGTCGCCGTTTAGTTTCGTGACGTCCGACAACGTCATTGTTTTTCAATGTCTGCTTCTTCTACTTCATACACTTATTTTCATGAGATTCCCTGGAGCTAAATAAGGACTTAAATCCATCTTATTTATATGATTTTACAATGTAATGAACAGCGGCTTTCAATGCATGTAATATTGCAAATGGATTGGATTTATACCTTGGGAGAGATCCATTTCATTTGATTGTGCAAACATGCTTTGACTTTTGAAGTTTAAATTCTACAACATATGATCTACGTCATATTTTGACGTGATAGATTTTCCACACCTCGATTACAAATCGACATTACTTGTACATCCCTTTTCTCTCCGACTCTCTTTTGGCATTAAAAAACAAGTACTCTGGATGTATTTTATTTCTCCGTAGCCAGATAAAACATTTTCTAGGTCTAAACCAGTTTTTTTATCGGCAAAACTTTATAGAATGTTGGAAAAGAAAACCCCTCCCCCTTTTTGACGTCATTTTGAAGGCCTTATTTGTATGGACACTCTCTGTAAAATTTACGATAAATTTTTATAGAACTTCTAGAATGAGGTAAAGATTCCATATTTTATGGAACAATAGTGTCCCAACACATACCTGAATTAACGGGATCGATTTTTGGATGTCAAATGTTAATAACAAAAGAGTTTTTCTCAGTTACACTTAAGTCGAAAAAACGTAGTTTTCGAGGTTGCGCCGCCTTGACATACCATTGCTTACAAAAACATTACTAATTTATCATAAGAAAAAATTTATGATTTGAGGTTTATTCTATAGATAGAAAATATGATGCTTACTAGATATTTTAAAATTCATTGATGTGCCTAAAGCGGTTTTAATTTTATGGCGCTAGTCCACGAACTTTTTGATACCCTCTCATATATGTTTAATTCCCTTAATTTTGTAATCAATACATTTAGGATAAATTATCAATCCAACGGTATTTACATAGACGTACATTTAGCTAGTGTTTGTATAATGTGCTCATTATATGAAAATGCTATGTTCACCCTTTTCGATATAAATAGAGACAAATTAAATTATAAAATATCTGAAAGTTAACATTTGGTCAAAGAATAATTCGCATTGTCTGAATGGATACTCAATATTCAAATTATTACAATTTTTATTTAATGATTTTTTTTATAAAACAGTTCCCCCAATAAATCAATATTTCTCTTTAACAATTCCATCTTTGAGCTTTACGTCAAAAGATTTCGATAAAAATACAGTTACATACCTGAAAATTCAGTGTTTCCTAAAATGTGTTTTGGTATAATTGTTTACATTTAATTGTAGTTTTTGTTAAGATTTATTTGGTTAAATAAATCAAAACAAAATAATGGGCATTTGCCAATTTAGATTATGCAAAAACTAAAAAAAAACAAAAACAAACTCAGAATCAATGACATCAAAATCAAACAAGCCCCCCACCCCATCCACCATCCCCTAAAACAAACAAAAGTACAAACAAACTAAGAAACAAAAGTATTAAGGTTCATAAACCCTCTGTTCACTCATATAAAATGTTGCTTGAATGTTAATGATTTTCCAAAAGAAATGTACTTTATAAGTAAAATACAAACAATTATAGCATAGCTTGCGGGGCAAAATTGGACAAAAATGACACTTCAACTTGGCAAATCTATAAAGGAATAATAGACATTTACGTCATTAAGAGTTATCTCTCTTATCAGAGTATCAATGACCCTTAAAAGAATAACTTTATTTATATTATATCCCCTATTTCGTATACCAGTTCTTGTTGTAAATAAAATTTTGCTTGCTTTCACACTTTGAAACAACAATATTATATCCTTGTTCCCTTCAAACGTTTTATTTCTATATTTACAGGAAAACTAACAAAACCCGTGATAACAGGGAACCTGACATATCATATTGGAGGTCCTGCTTACTTCCGCTGTTCCAGCAATTCTACCTCCGCCCCTTTCTATTACAAAAAGTTCCCACCCCTGTTATACTTTTGGTATGTCAACGACACAAGGTTGTCTGGAATATCCAAAGAAAAATACAGATTTACTATAGCAAAGAAGGACAGGTACAATCGCATATCATGTACAGCAAAGGAAGGAAAAGGAGGGCTCGAGTCAGTGCGAAGTGAAGATCTACACGTTGACGTTTTATGTGAGACGATTCATAATTAACAAATAAAAAAGGTGTAAAGTTGAGATTTATTAAGAAATGAAATAGTTAAAACGCCACTATGTATGAATGAGAATTTATAGTTTAATTATATAATTAATCGACTCTATATTGTAACAAGTCTCAATATCATTTCGAATCTTGTATGATACCATAAATACTAATGCTTTAAGAACTGAGGTACTTTTCAAATAACTTACGACTAATTGATTTACTATTTGAACACAAGACGATTACTCTGAATTTGATTATCAGTCACTCTATATTGCAAAGATTGGTCAGTACAAACTTCTCTGTTCTTGATTTATTTGACGTCTCTCGGAGCCCTGTGGTCTCTCCGTCTTGTAAAGACCTACCTGTTATACATGTTTGCCCCTCGATTACAATTTCAAAAAATATATCTTCGGGTTGCATGCCTCTATGTCTAATTTTCTTTTCAAAGCTATCTGGAACACGGTGCCCAGCTATCATATTTTGTGAAGTTCTATCGTTTACACGTCTCTCAGTCACTCTGTCTCGTTAAGACAAGCCCCATACACATAGTTTACTACTCGGGTAAGGTTACATATATTTCCGTTAGGTAGACGTGTATAGGTCTTTTGATATCGTCATTTATTTTGATGAAGTTTCGCAAGTTACACCTCTATTTTTCACTGTCTTGTGAGGACCAATTCTTTACGACATCATTCGGTCAATCGGACACTTGGGCTGATTTGTAAAAATCTTTCGGATAAGGGTTTTTGTACTCTTTCATGTGAAGTTCATACAGCTAATAGGTTTATTGGACACTGTCTTGTTATGACTCATTTATGATATATCTTTTAATTACTCTTGTTTTATAAAGAACAATCACTTGAAAATCTCAGGGTCATTTTGACCCATTACTTGTACATTACGCCTTCCGATGTTACATTGTCGCTGTCAATTAGGTCTACAGCCCTTTGGCCCCTCTGTCTCGTGCTTTGATCACTTTAACATACACACAAAAGATGGTAACTTTTTAGGGGGTCTTTTTTGCATACAGATGGCCCAGATGAAAAACAGATATGGATTTCTCCACCACCGCCACCTGATGATAGACTCTGTGTACAGGATGGAGGTATATTTGGACCTTTTAATTGTACTGCGGACTGCAATCCACCTTGCATGATTCAGTGGAAGAACAAAATACCCACTGGTGAATTCGCCAATGCTACTTCCTTAAGGCTTGATTCACAGATAATACCAGAGAGACGAGTGGAGAAAGGAAATGTGACATTATTTCAGTGTGTAGTGAAATGGAGTTCTGGCAAAGATGATGGTTATAAAACAAGAAATCTGGATATACAATGTAGAGTTTTTTTTATATTAACAACGCATTTCAAATTCAATTACATATTAATCAAACTCATTTCATTAATTGAATGTATGATAGTGATTTTTGCTTCGAGGAATATCTTAATATCTTTCATTCATAGAAAATACTAGCATCAGGTTTGAACATGTTGAATAGGAATAGGAGGGTTGTCGGTAAAGTTCGTGGACAACATTGATAATTACTGACAAACCTATTGCTTTGTGATGCTATTTAATATAATTTGTTTTAATCTTTTTCTACAGTTTCCAACTGCAACCCGGATGTATCTGCTACAAAGCAATATGTATTAGCAATCGTTGGCAGTTTGATTACTCTTTTTGCTTTGTTGACTACAGTTTTTGTCTGCTTCAAAATTACTCATCATGCACGTAAAAGGCAAAAATCCAAAAGTGAAAAAGGTATGGTATCATGCTCACTGTAATTTGAATTAGGGACCTACTTAATTATTTTCAAAGCAATTTATATACTTTGGAAATTGTTGATTCTAAAACACCGTAAAGAGTATATTTCTTTTAAAAGAAAACATTGGAGAAACTTCAGAAAGTGTGCAAACAAAGCAGGAAGAGTATCAAAACAATTCTGAAGTTATTTTAGATGATGATTTCTCACAAGGAGAGCTGTATGAGGAATATGATAATGGAGATATACAAGGTGGAGGAAGGAACACCAATTGTTTACGCAAGAACAATCCAAAAATAATCTTAAACCATAAAAATCAATGTGAGAATAAGATGGAAGAGCAAGGGGAAAATAATGGATATCAATATCAGGATATCCATGAGGAACAAGGACAATTTTATACACCACTTAACCCTGTTTTACAAACGGATCAATAGATTTGCAGAATAAAAGTGACAACTACAAACTTGAGCACTCATTGAACAGTGCGAGGATATACACTGCACTTGTGAACGAACCAGTCTCTCTTATTCGACTTCACTACCATTCACTTCGAGAAAAACATAATTTGAATTAATTTATTATGACTCTCTTTTGTTCTCATTCACCTAACATTTGTCGATAATTTGTATCTTTAAAAATACTTCATTCATAACTCTTATCAAAATGTAACATTTTTCATCTGAGTAAATAAACTCTAAGAGCAAATTACACATGTGTGTAAATGGTTGCCAAACGAAAGCAAAAAAAGTAATCAATTGTTTTGGCTCAGTTGTGATTTTTTTTTTTGAGAACATCACTCATCAAATCCACTATTATTCTTTAAGCTTAGGTCCATCTTCCAGGATAATGTTCGCTTCGTGGACAGGATTCTGTACTGTTGTAACACACTCTTTGTAAATAGGATTGTCCGACTAAAGGAGAAAAGAAATCAAAAAAGGTTACATTTAATATTCACATGATCGCCATATGATTGATATTTAGATTAAAATTAATATACACAGCCGTTCTGAATACAATTTTCATTATCATTATTATGTGACCACAAAACTTTTAATTATTTGAATTAAATGTAACATTGCATTAGAATAACTGTACCTTCTCCCATATTGGGTTCTGAATTTCTGATTCAAATTTGCTATACTCCAGTTTATCATATAACATAGTAAGGAGCTTCCAAATAAGGATCAGTATCAGCCCCACGAGGAAGATGGCGCCGGAGACACTGGCTCCAATAGTAACAGGATTGGGTGGTCCCAAGGGACAGCCTGGTGATGTAGATAAACACGTATAGAAAAGTAAAAATTATTAGGGAAAAATACCTTTATCTGTAAGAATGTCTCGCAATTTAAGCGTAGTCGACAGTAAATTATTTATTTGTTTTGTTCCAGGCACTTGGTTATAATCAACGAGATTGTTTTCATTATTATGAATTGTACATATATACGTAACGGATGGCAATGACAACTTAACATGCCATATCTTACATTTTCTTAAAGTATATATTTAACATACTTTAATGAAAACAAATCATTGATGTATTTAAACACTTTATTGTTCTGTGTTTTGTATTTATGAAGATCGATACAGTCGTATACTTACGTTTGGTAGATTTTACTTCTATAAATTGTCTGTCGGGAGAGTTGTCTGAAAGAAAATACATGATCATAAAGTCTAAACAGTAAATATGCATTTCTTGGCAGTTTCTTTTTGAAATTAAAACATTTACAAAAATCATTTCAGAAGTTACAAGCTTACGGTTTGAAAGGAACAATTCAATCTTGTTTTAAATAAAACAGAAAAACAGTTTTGTTGGCAATGCTTAGCTTGAATTTGGGCACTTTAAATTTCCCTTATGTATGAAACGTTAACACAAGTCACAAGTACAAGACATTGAAAGTCTTCAAAAAAAAAACAAACAAACAAACAAACAAAGAAAAATAAATGTTGAACTTACAAACGTTAAAGCTGATAACGCAGGCATCTTTGTCTTGTATAACACAGGCTGTGAGTGTAGTTTCATTGTCAGCTTAAAATAAAATCAAAAATAATCACAGATATATTTTTACTTTTTTCTTTTCTGTTTTTTGTTTTATGTTTTGGAAGGAATATTATAAGCTGTATAATACTCATGAATATTTTTCATTTACCTTACGTGTATCCGTTTGTTTTATAATATTTAAGAATAAAGAATCACCATGTCACTTACCTGTTACCGTTTCCTCTAGATCAGAAACAACTTCTACATTCTGGCATCTTTGGAGACAAATAGTTTCATTGAAGAGACCCTGGTTGAAGCCCACACACTCTACACAATTTTTGTTGTTCCCACATGTTCCTGGACAGTGCTGTTTTCCAAATTTAAAATTAATTTTTAAAAAAAAATCGAAAATCACACCTTCGGTCATCAGGTAAGAAATCCTTGTTGTTTTCATTTTTTTCGGAATACAATTGTTGCTTTTTGTTTCAAGGGAAATTCCAAGTCAGTACAATTCTCAGTTAAACTTGGATTTTGTTTTAACAGTATGGCGTGTCAATGAATTTTTTTTCGTACGCTATATTACAAATTTAATATGTACTTAACATTTTAAAAGGCGTCATGGGATAGATTCTCAGTTAAGAAATTAATAACATAGGAACAAAATTTCAACTGTTGTTGTCATATAACGAATACTATTATACGCGAGAATTAAATTTTGGCCCCACCTCTTTGCCGTACGCCCAACAAAGACCTTGTTATTGAATATGTGCTACACTCGTTGAAATTCGCACAAACGATAAATATGAATATAAACACTATACCAAATATTTGTACATTTCAACAGAAATTGTTTTAATTTTAAAAGCCTGCATTTGTAAATTTCAAACGATAAAAACTGGAAAAAATTATGTAACGAAATTTACGAGAATATCAGTCTTTCATCGTAATTATTTACTGCATAAATATCACTGAAAGGCCAAGGTTAACTTAGAATACTGCTATTTTTTTTACCTGACATCGTTCACAAATCGCCCCACTGTAGAGAGACGTCACACCGAAAAAATTTAATTTTAAAAAAACTCAGAAATTTACCAGAACAAAGAGTCTGTAACAAAAATACAAAATCGTTTTGTTGATTACATTAAATGAGTCAGACTTCTAAAATAAATTTGTTTTAAATCTTAGATTTTAAAAGTTTTATTAATAATTTCTAAAATTAAATGTTTAAAAAACAATTTTAGAATTTACAAAAATTTTGATATATTGTGTTGTAATGTATTATAATGGTTATTTTGCTTAAGAGAGACAAAGATTGACCATGACACCTCATCCAACCTTTAATGCTTTAAAGATCCTTGTTTACCTTCCTTCAAATTTGTATTGTATTGTTTTAAAGGACTTCTGAATTTGATTGTTATTTTCATATTGAATTTACGCAAAAGGCAAAGAGTTTCATATAATTGAAAGGAAAAGAGGGAGCATTAAAAAGCGATTAAATATATACCTGGATATATAATTATGAAAATGTCTTTTGTAAGTAACTACCAAGAAAAATTTCCAATTCTTACATATTCTTTACTATCTACTCAGTAGATATGATATTATATCCGTCCTATTTATGTACCCACTCCATTATTATCCTTGCAAGCTTCAGTAGATATTGGACATTCACAAGAGCTACCATTGTATTTCACGTCACAAATGCATTCTCCACAGGAACATTGGCCCCGTTCATTTCCTTAAGTATATTTTGACAAAAATGTCACATGACTTTCTTTAACTATAAGGTTATTTTTTATGACATCTCATACTTTGCTTTATTTTTCTTAAGACGTTTTAAGGCATTTTAATTGCATATTCTTTGAATGAAATTGTGTAGGAAATACAATACCTCCGCAGAGTAAGCCATTGTATGAGGGGCAATTCCGGTCATTACACTCGCACCTGTCACCGCTGTATCCCTCAAAACAAGAACACTTCCGGCAGGTACAATTACCCGCATTACTGCAAATTCTGTATAAGAAAAGTGCAGGAATAAACAACTACTTGAAATGGAATAAGTTTTATGAAATTCATGTACTTAATTAATGTGTTGATAATTGAAATTTTAATTGTTTTTTCATGAAGTTAAAATCAAACTAACAACTTCATATAAAGAATTCTGTCATGAATAGAGAGACGATTCTCTCTGGTAATGAGTAACTACAGCGTTTATCATTACACAAATTACTATAATGTCTGTTATATCTTGACGTATTTAGAATTGCCTATATTAATACCTTAGCGGTAAAAAGTAATAACTAATCACGTTAACACGTTCTTATATTAAATATTATTTATAATCAATCTGAAATAGCTTTTGAAGACAAATGTATCAAAATATCTATGATATTAAAAGTTTAAAACTACGGACACAAACATTCATTACTTATTTACCCCATATCAGTCCCGCAAGCGTCCATTACTGTGCCCCTCTCATCACATTCACAGTTCTTGCCTGACCACCCCGTGTCGCAGTGACATATGCCACACTCGTATGTACCTCTGCTATTACATTTAGTGCTGTTTCGTTCCTATGAAAAAATGCATTTATATCACAGTATATTATACATTCAACTATGGTTAAGTTTAATTCTGCAGATATTTAATAGGATTTACATACTAGTCTCCATTATATTTTAACAAATGTACGCCAGCTATTTGCTAGCTCTCCATCTATGCGTCATTTACCCGATAAACTCCCTGATTTTCAAATTATATTTCAAGAGAAAGTTTAGGAATAGCTGCATAACAATCAATGGACAACATATGAAATGAGCTAATTAATTAATCTTTACATTAGTTAAATGAAAATCCTAAACTAAATTCTATATATAAACAAGATATGCTGCTTCCGGTTCTAAATTCTAATCAAATTCTATATATAGATAAGATATACCGCTTTCGGTTCTAGTTGACAGTCGCAGTCACACACGTGTTCAACTTCTATCTGAACACGCTCCTCCAGGCCCTCGGGGAAAACTGTGAAATTCACTTTCCTCTTGTCAGGGCAAACCGTGAAGTGAGACTTTATGAACAGCGTAAAATTTGTCTATCAATACAGAAAAATAAATACTGATTGGTAATTAGTTAAACATTGAGTTTGCTTAATTCTGTGAACAGCAATATTTCGACGACAATTTATTTTTTTTTATTCATGTAAAGTTTCTTTTCTTGCAGAGCAATCAAAAAATAATTGAGATAAAGGAGAATCATTGCTACATTTGGAATTTTATCTGAGATTGAAGAAACAACACTGATTATAAGATAAACATCTTAAAAATTGATTGCTACTCAGAACAACGTTTAAGTTATACTATTTTTTTTACCCAAATGTCGATATTCAATCCTGTGCAAATGTTTGTTTTATCTAGGGTACGTCTGAAAATGCAGAGAGAAAATATTGCTTACCAGAATGAGAAATTACTTAAATCTATTGCTTTACAGATGACACGGAATCAAAAAAAATATTTTGAACTAACCCTCCGGTCCTGCAGTTTGTATATACATCTAGAGTAATTTCTTCTGGAACACCACTAGTAATTAATTTCACTGTCTCACGAAGGCGCTATAAGAAATCTTAATTATAATTTTAAAATCCGAAGATCACATGATAAACATATACACTCACTTCATGAATAAAAAGAATTAAAGCGTTTAACTTTGCATTATTGAAGTGTTTATCATATTGAGCCATTGGTCGCTACAAACATGTGAAAAATACAGAATACCTAGCATATGTAGAACTTTTCTCTGTTAGATTTCTCTTTTATTGTACAAACAGATATTTTATGTACTTTTGTGTTCCTAAAATCAATCAAACATTTAATAATCTACTTTTGAAACTATTTATTAAAGAAAAGAATTTTGAATTTCTAATTTGATATTGTACTCTTATTTATAGACACAGATGTTTGTTCTAATTTAATGAAGAATTTCAGTTTTCCTTAATTTTTATAAATGCTCATTAATTTGAACTGATTAAACTATTAAAAGTTAACATTTTTATAAAAATAAAAGTTTGAAATGAAATTAAAACGATAATTCAACTGTTTCCAGGCCATTTTGAAAGAATTGACACCTCAGACAACCCCTTTTAAAAATTTCAAATGACCTTGTCTGTAAATACATTTTATCCCTGAGTCAAATGCTGAAAGATGTTTTTTTTAATACTAATTGTTTGGCCATCATGTATACAAGTAATTCACGACGGATTTTTCTGTTATTTTTAGATCATGACAATTAGCACTGGCAGGTGTGACCGATCAGCAGGGGATACTTACTCCTCCATGGAACGTGATCCCACTTCTGGTGTTTTGACCCCTGCGAGACGATCATGAATAATTCATGAATTTCCTTGAATTTTTCATGAATTTTATTCATCAAATGTTCATGAAATGTTCATGATGATCCTATGAACTTATTATTGGACATTTTCAAATCATGAATTTTTATTCATGAAAGAAAATTGATGAATATTCATGAATATTTTTTTTCATGAATAATGCATGAAGAGTCATATTCATGAAGATTCATCATTTCAAGAATGTCCAATAATAAGTTCATTGCATCTTCATGAACTATTCATGAATAATTTGATGAATTTTTTCAGGAATGTTCATGAATGAATAAAATTCATGAACCATTAGCATTCATGAATATTCTTGCTTATTTGTAAACAAAAAATGCAATATCATTATTCATGTTTAATTTATTCATGAAAATGCATGAAGTCATGCTAAAAAAGTAACAGTAGATGATTTTATAATACAGCATCTTGAAAGATGTCACAGAAATGTTGTTTGTTTTCCAACCATGGCAACAAAATCTTTGTTAAAAAACTTAAAATAGACAATTCTGACACATTAAACCATAGTAAATGAGAAATGTAGTTCATTCCTGGTAAAAGTATAAAAAATTTCAATTCAAATGCAACTCTTTGCAGAATGTTTAACCTTACTTGGTCAAAAGGAGAGGGGGATCCTAATCCTCAGCATGTTTCAAATTGTGTTTTAATGCCAGAAATTGAACAGTTTTTAATTCCAGTCTAGGAGAAAAGTTTGTTCAGCACCAGGGTAACAGTTTTCAGTGCTTTCAAGCAGTTTGAGCAGAGATGGTCAATTCAAAAATCCTTATTGTCTCTCCATGTGGAATTTCCAGAATTTCATCATTTGGATCCTTTGATTGAATATCATTCATATTTTCATTTCTTTTTTTCTTTCTTTTTCAAGAGCTCAGATTTTTGTGCAGCCAGAGTTTCTTGTCTTCTGCTCATCAACATTTGTGAACTGCTTCTCTTTTTCCTTCAAAAAGAAAGATTTTCTGAAAGTACTTATGATTGTAAAACATAAGACTTTTTTGTATTTTCTTGCATTTTAGTTTCATTTAATTTTGCATCAGAGACACTTCCAAATTAAAACATTCTGAGTGGAATTGAAGCCTATTTTCTTGGACTGCCATTTTGTAGATCAATCAGGCCTATGAATGTTTTGAGTCTCAGTCTATAATTAATGTGTTATATGGTTGGATCCAAACTCAAAGCAAAGTTAGACAAAAATTGCATTAAAAAAAGAGACATATTAATTTATCATAATGTGCTTTAATCATGATCATGTTAATTAGTTGTTATTTTACAAATAGACAGTAACATTTACAGACAGATTTCTGACTCAGTGATTGCCTCAATTTTTTGTCACTCACCAGTTATGAAGTAGATCGATCCTATATATAGTCTTCCTTCTTCATATTCTGTTATTTTCTTAAAAAGTTGACAAAGATCAGTGACTGTACTGTTTATTGGACACACCTTGTGAGAGGGTGAAAAACTAAAAATTACAAAAGCATAATAAGAATTTGATAAAATATCAAAATCATAAGCAATCATACAAAATTAAATGCGTAACTTTAACATGTGAGCTGAACTGGCCTATGCCTATCGCATGCTGGAAATGCGCGGTTTTACAAAACATTGTAGTTGCAGAATTTAAACATGATAAAATATATTGCATAATACTGTTAGATACAGATGATCAAGTTAGATATAAATTCAAGTAAAACAATATAAAACTTACTCCTTAGGGAGGCCAACATCACCAAACTTAGCCTAACAGCCAAAACACCAGGCAAACCGCATGGCTACCATAATTAGTATAAACAGAATATTGAACCCGATCGAAATAAAATTATGCAATACGAAAACGGCACAGTGATTATGCAAATAATAGATCACAAATACTGATTCTTCCACTCTACAAATTCCCACTTCCAACGTCTCGCGCGTTTTCAAGTTTGCGCCTATTCAAAAATGTACGGTAGAGCTAAGAAAATCGTTAGTTTCGAATTTCCAAGATTTCTGTTTAAAAAAATTACAAACACTATCTGAATAATTTTTCACTGAAAATACAATTTTTTTAATATCAAAATAAGTTTTATCAATGAAGAATTCGAATTTTTTACGTCATAAATTATACATGTATTGACTTTTAGTTTCGTATAGCAAGTATGGCGGCCCCCTATGACATGATAATAACAATCTCTCGCCCTCAGACAGAATATTCTGAGCTGTGAAGACACATAGGAGAATTAAAACTACAAAATACGAATGTGGATTATGTCATAGATACTTTACAACCATGCAGTCTGTGCTCTATCATTTACGCACGAAGCAAGGGAAACTTTTGACATTTTAACTGCACCAAAATTGAAATGTATATAAATCCAGGAATAATACGGTACAGTACAGACAAGTGATATAATTTTTTTAGTTGTTAATAAATATATAAAACGTTTTGTACGCAGCTCACAAAGTTCATTTTCCAGAATGTTTCATTTTCCAACAACTTGTTTAAAGTTTGATGTTAGAGAAAATTCGGTCGAACAAAGTTGTGTGATGAAAAAAGACATTAATTAAAGCACATTATGATGAATATAACTGTTTAATTTAAATTATGAAGAAACACAAGTAATGAATTTGAAAAAAAAATGCTGTCAATGGTGATGCACTGTTTGTTTAATTAAAATCATATAAAAACACGAAATGTTTAGAGATTTCATGATTTATTTTTTCAGATGGTGAAAGAATGTTATTAAATATAAATTATACCAGGGGCTTGTTCAACAATCGCATCTGCATGCAAAAGATGTATTATGAGAGTATTGAGTGTTTTCTGTCAATCATTTTTGTCAATTATTTTAGTCTTCATGAAAATTCATGAACATTCATAATACCTAGAACTCTACATTTTTTCTGTCTTTAAAATGAAAATTACCAATATTCATATATATTCATCATTTGTTCATGAACTACATTTTATGAATACATTCATGAATAAAGTTCATGAACCATCTTTATGAACCAGTCATGAACACATCATGAATGTTCATGAACGATTCATAAAAGTTCCTGAAATTATGAATTTCACCTCGCAGGGGGGAGGTCGTTATTTGCTCTTCTCCTATTTTGTATTGTTTTATGGATTTTGATCTTGAATACTGTTTTTTATCTCCAAATGTTTCATTCCAAAGGGGAAATAAATCAAATTACGGTATTTACTAAACTGAATATAATAAAGATAACAGCTGGTAGCCATTTTTACAGACACAGATGTATGGCCTAATATTATGATGAACGTGAATGACATTGAAATTCAAGAATTTGTCTTTAAGATTATTTTTTTTTACTTAAGTCAATTCATGATTAGATACATGATTTTGAAATTGAAACATAAATTGAAAACAATTATGACTTGGCCATTTGAATGAGATCGAGACCTTACAAAACACATCTTTAAGAATAAATAAGTGAATAAAAAATATATATCTTCAGAATTTCCACGTCCAAATAATATTTTCAGTATACATTATTTGTATGTAAAACATATGGTGTCATTATGTTACCCTGTAGTTTTCCCTGACAATGTTCAGAATGTTTGAAGCATCTGTGGATAAGGCCGAAGCATTAGTGACACCCCCGGGTAAAATGGCCGTAAGTTGATCATAATACAAGTTTCTTATGATTTGATTGTCAGCACCACCGATTACAAATATAATATTGATGTTGTTCTCCCGAGCCTTCTGAACGATTTGTCCAACTGAAGGGTAGTCCTACAACAAATCAAAATTATACATTTAGCTAATAGACATAGTTGCACAGATAGAGAAAGGTATTTTTCTCTTATAAGAAAAAAAGGTTATTACTTTGATAAAAAGATTTGATAGAAAAAATGTAATAAATGCTATTGTATTCTTTGAAATTTTAATTTAATTTCAATTTCTATATTCGCCAACTGGACGCTACACAACAACGATCTATAAATCAATTTGAAACTCGAATTTTACGAGAATTAAGTAAAACGCCAAAAACAACTCATAACAAATTAAAGCTCTTGGATTTTTTTTTAAATAAATTAAAACATTAAACATTCTTGACATCGACAACTAGCCTGTATTTCTGCCTTCGTATATTTGCCACTGCCATCTAAGTGACATAAACAATCGTTTGGTTCCAAAATTCCAGCAACCTACAATAAGCATTACGATTATTTTGTGTGACTTTTGGAGTGCATTTATGATTTGAATTCTTTTGTTTTAATGCTGATTTCTATTTTTTACAATTGTATTACATGTATCATTGTTGAATTTTAAAAAAAAAATCTTTATACAAGGATGACATCATGAAAAAATTAACTTTCAATATTTGCTATACAGGACTTTAGGAATAATTTGTAATTTGCTATTCAGATTTCCTATACCCTGCCATCTCCAGCGTGGTGGAAATTTATGTCTGTAGCATACAGAACCATCCGTCTAGCTTTACTTCTCCAACCTATTCTATTCTGTATATAATAAACTTTTATTTAATAAAAAAAATCAATTTTGCTATCCCTCATGTATTTTTATTAAAGAAGATTCTTTTTCGGAAAGAATTCAGGAGTAATCTTGTACATAATCGTAAAAATTCTAGTTAATACAATGTAAATTTCAACCAATCGAATAAGAAAATTTATAATGCAATATTATACAATTATTGCTGTGTTTTGAGGTAAATATTTATTTACAATTTTGAGCCCGGAGGGCGAGGTGAATATACAAAAGCATAATTGTATTGACAAAAAACAGCAATAATGTTTTATTATATGATTCACTAATAAAATGATAAAACTCATTACTTGTTTGCATTTAATCGAGTCCTATCCAAATACAATTAAGAGAGAAGCAGAATTAAAATGTTAATAAACCTCACAGGTCGTATTTATTTTTTTGTTAAGTGTTTTTTTAAAATCAATTTTAGTTGCCATGGAAAAAAAATATGTCAGTCTTTTTTCTAGTATAGAGTTTTAAAGGAAGGAGTATTATTCGGGAAAACTGACTGCCAAAAAGTAAAAATTGTTTTTCAGTAAAAGTGTTGGAGGAGTGTCCATGCATCCCCTCGTTTATATACCCTCACCCGAAAATATATATTCGCTTAACTTATCTTCACATGAAAAAAAGTTATAGTAAAATAGCTTTCCAAATTCAATTTGTATCAATTTGGAATATCCCAGTACTATTTTTAGATCAATGTAAGGAAATAAATCCTTGTATTGACCTGGAACGTCACGTGCAGGTTTTACAACTGTATTTTTAACATAGTTGGATCTCAGCCAATCAGAGAGATGAAAACTATTCAATCATATAATAAAATAAGTGAGTAAATATTTATTTACAATTTTGGCCCAGAAGGTATACAAAAACATAAGTAAAAAAATACTAGTAATGAGTGAAATTTCTAAATGATAGTCAAACAATTAATGAACATTAATGCTGATAAGAGTACATATATTTCTCATGATAAATCAACTTTTCTTCTTTTAAAACAGTTATGAATGTAATTTGAAAAAAATGTGATAACTTTCTCATTTTCATACTCATAAGTCATGTAAACTTATTCCTATTAGATAATCTTGATAAATTCTTACAGATCGTTTATATAGCCTCAAAAATGGCTTTCTAAAGTCCTGATATGCTGAACTATCATGCAAATAAAAAAATGTATTCCATCTTCTACACAATCAGACTTGCAGATAGTACATTTTCCTCCATTAACAGGAGTTTGTTTATATCGACCAGTTTCAACAGCAAGAGGATGTGAGCTGGTTCTAAAGTTTGTAAAGCATTTAAAAATATCAGGATTATTTAAGACGGAAAAAAATGCAATATATGTACAGATTTGAGGAAATCTCGTTCATGTATAAAAGAACTCTTACAACATGCAAATTACAGGTATTTGAAATTTAATTTTAAATACTTACCCCACACACCATGACTTGCATAAGCCCATCAAACAAGCCCTCTACAATATCTTGATTTGCTGTAGTATTCACACGACTTAAAGCATCCTGCCCAAAAAAAATCTTATTTTTGTAATCTTGCTTGTAACACTTTTTATAAATTCCATCAAATAAACTCTTTTTTTCAAATTTTGAATTTAATTACAGTCCTATGGCCCTATTCACAAAACATCTTACGACTTTGATAAAAAAAAATGACATCTCTGTAATTTTTGCTAAATATATATATTATATTTTTCCTTAAAAGTTTTTACTAAGTAACCTGTACTATAGCTATAAAAGAAGTCCTACTACGGGTTATACACTTAGATAGAGGAATTGGAAAATTAGGCCTAATCTCAAAGGCCCTGATCTGAACAAGCTTGATCTGAACTACCTTTGGATGATTTGAACAAATATCTGTATGAGTTATCAAACTGTTGCCGTCTTAGTGAAGATTATCAAAAACACGACGGGTGTGACCGGTCGGCAGCAGATGCTCACTCCTACATGGCACCTGATCAAACTTCTGATGTTTTGGAAGTCCGCGTTTGCTCTTTTCCTATATTGTATATTTTGTAATGTTTTAAGAACTCTTCTTACTTGAAAACTGTTCGCTATCTCCATATGTTTCATTCTATGTTGAATTTGAATGCCAATGGTAGGCATGATCTAGCTCGAAAGTCATGATTTGCAAAAATTTAGGACTTTAGATCTTGAAAACTGTTCGTTATCTCCATATGTATCATTTTTTGTTGAATTTGAATGCCAATGGTAGGCCTGACCTAGTCTCGAAAGTCATGATTTGCAAAAATTTTTTTTCACTATGTAATGAATCTTTCAAATAAGTTTCATGTTTTCTGGACCAGTATTCCTTGCAAAAATCATTTTAAAAAAAAAATCCGTTTATTTTTACTCCTGGGTAATTCTAAATCGAACTCTCCCACCTAAAACGGATATTATCCTTTATTTAAGCAAATTTCCACACAAAGATCTTTTGTGGCACATTTGGTTGAAAATGGCCAAGTGGTTATTGAGAAGTTAAATTTATAGACGATTTATTAACATTTCGATCAGAAAACCAAATTGGAAGATATAAGAACTAAAATTGTAGAAATTTCATTAAATAATCCTTTTTGAAAATACTGGGGTTTTTTATTTAAGAGATATATACAAATAACTAACCGTAAACTCGTTTACATTATTGGTTAGTGAGAGCCGATGTATAAAAGAATATGGTTTGTCACAGTAAAGGGATCCACAAGGATTCAATCGACTGTAAAAAAAATAAATAAATAGATGAATAATGATTAAATAAAGTAGACCAGCTTGAATCAAAGCAACAAAATAATTCTGTGGTTTAATTATCAAGAAGATGAGTTCGAAATTGAGAGACATCTACGGTCATGTGTGCAAAAATGAGCCGTTTACGACTACTTCCGGTGTGATCGGAAGTGAAGTTATTTTGACGACTTCTAATGATCTCTTTAGCAGGTACTTATTTCGTTAAGTTGTTACAGTATTTGTTATTCTGAACAACCTTTGTTCTGTGATGCTTAACAAATTGTCAATATTTTTTTTAGATAGGAAATAACTTTTGGCCGCTCTAGCTCCCTAGTTTTAGGGGAGAGCCCATGGTTGTTGCTATCCGTCGAATGATCGTGATAATCCACACTCCTTTTGTTCCATATGTTTTAATAAAGTATTTACAAGTAAAAAGATATTGTTGAAAAAGTAGATAGGTCTTTTTTCGCGCCATAGCGAGCGACAACGTGCGGCATTTCCGATAAAAATGAAAATAATCATACCTTCCGCATATCTAAAGAGACAGTTCTACCATACCTGAAAGTTTCATGTTTCTAGCTAAAATTGTTTATGAGAAAATCTGAGGACAGCCCGACCCTTTAAAAATCATTAATCGACAATATCTCCGGACCAGAGGCAACGTCATGAAAACAGAAAATATTAAGGCCTTGTGATATTTTATAATGCTACAGAAAGTATTTGACAGAAAAATAGAATTTACAAATTTAACAAAAGTATTGACAATGATGTATTTTGCTTTTTTACCTTTTAGGATCTTGTAGAGTGAAAGGATCTATGACTTTATCCATCGCTGTGCCAAGTCCAAATCTAAAATCTGTCGTTATTGTAGCGATGTCATCAGCTTAAATAAATCAAGGAGCTATCCAATTAATATAGACTTTAATAAGTAGAATAATGATGATATTTTATGCTTCTCATCTTCGCTAGCCATGAAACCCCGCTTTGCACAGAGGATTAGACCCAAAACCTTTGCATAGTGAAGATGTAAACCACTGGACTGTTTATGTTTACAACGAGTTTTTACTGTAGAATTAATTTCATGAAAGGTATTGACATATAACGAAGAAATACAAGCCGATATTTGATAAACATTTCATTAGACCTCAATTTTTTGAAAATCTTCTTATAAGAATTGATAATATTGTTCTTCATTATACATTTCATACAGCTGTCTGTATTATCATTATGTTTACCATATCATATTCAGTTATTGTACCAAATACTAATAATTTTAAGAATTAAGTATTTTTTTCAAGTTCTTATCATTTGTTCATTTAATAAAATTTTACCTATGTTTGTGGCCAATCGACGAAGGCTTGCAACTAGTTCTCTCATCGTATACGATGGGTCGTTTAGAAAATACAGATCAAGAGGAAAATTTTTGGCAATCTTGTAGAACACCATTACGTCACGTAAACTTTCATCTATGAAAAAATAAACATCACGAAGAAGAAAAAAACTTGAAATATACATTTCAAGAGGGAAATTTTTTTTTTGTTTGCGATTTAATAAATCTTGTACGATTTAATAAATCGTTTGTACACCATTACGTCACGTAAACTTTCATCGATTTAATATGTACAATTTAATAAATCGTTTGTACAATTTAATTTAGTAAATCGTACGATTATTAAATCGTACAAACGATTTACTAAATCGTACAAACGATTTAATAAAAAATTTCTACATTGTTAAAATGGCATGAATACGCCGTCGTACCTTTCCGACATGAATAGACAGGAAAATAAAAGTCACTTTGTTTTCAGTGAGACGTTTAGAAATATTTCTGTAGTATATAAAATATATTTCAAATTTTAATTGCTTGGAAATTAGAACATGATTCCAATTTCCATACACTGGGTACTCCTTTTATACAGGTACCTACCACAAACTTTGCAATATCTTTTTAAAATGACTTTTAATTGTAATTTTAAACTCGATATTACAAATCATTAGGCATTTAAGTACACTGTGTTTCATTTAAACTGATGTTCAGTCAAACAATTACATTTAATATGATTGACTTTTGACGTACTTGGAACAAGTGTTATTTTCATCCTTTGTGGTTTAATTTGTACCGGTTCTTCCGTAGGACCACCATCTGAGAAGTCATTGTTCTGAAAATGATGATAATGTGAGAAACATACATGTACTATAATTTTGGGAAAAAAAAAACACTTTCCAACTCAAATATACATTACAGAAAAATTACTCTGATACAGAAATTGTCCAAGTAAAAGGAAATCTCTCATTTATATTATAGTGTATCTTAACACAAATCGTTAATCTTACCAACAAAATGTATTCTTTTCAAATGCCCTACATCAATTTACAAAATAAACCACTACATTTTTTATAACAGACACAAAGGAACACTGTTTTACGTTGAAAAGTAAACATTATATGCAGTGATTTATATAGTGTTACGTAGTCATTTTTGCGTAAATCCGACCATTGCTTGTAATACGTATGACATCTTAGTATCCAAATAATGCAACTATAGAAATAACGGTAAGATAAAAACTTACATTTTATTTCATACATTATTATAAAGATCCATCGATTTGACTTGCTTGCTTGTATTGAAAATGAATACATAAAGAGATATTTATGATATTTACTGGTGTGATAACACTTTATGTCTGATTTTATTATACTCATTTGAACTTTTATATACTTTGATGAATCGACGCAACATAATACAGAGTGCCTCGAGAGTCTAAAGTTTCAACTCAAACGCCTTCTTTACGGTGACAAAATTTTTAAAATTCCTTTTTACCTAAATCAAAACTATGAAATATTTTCAATTTTATTGAAGATTTGAATACTTTAATTTATCTGACCTGTAAGATCTGTACACTGTGCGTTTTCCTCTTGACAATTTGCCTACAACCATCAAGAGACAACTGGCTCTCCGCTGCACACCGATTGAAGACATAATCCTTAGAGAAAAAAATTAAAAAAACACTCAAAAAGGAACATGGTTAACGTTTTAATGTCTTTTAATTTTTATAAGTTTTAAACATCGTTTTATGATTGATAGGTCGATTCTGGTGCACGATTCATCCGTGAACCGAATTTATGAAATTGTTTACTCACTGATGTACTTAGAGAAGGCAGGGGGCTCGGCCCCTCTTTTGGGGCCCCAAAAATACATGAGAATTATTAAATCTTTCTTTGGGGTTAACACTAGGCCCCTATACCCTGACCCCCCCTTCAAGATTCCTGGATCCGCCAATGTAACTGTTCCTTTTATGTTCCTTAGTTCTCCTGCCGAACGTCGACTGAGCTTGTTTGTTTGTTTTTTTGTGTTTTTTTGTTAAAAGCGGGCAAAAAACAAATAACTTTATGTAGAAGTAAAATATGTCATTTGTTTAAGTGAATGACGAAAGAAATAAAACACAGTTAACGAAATGAGGGTCAGAAAAAAAGAACTCAAATAAGAGCATTACACATATTAGGCTAAATATTTTCTAAAATTTTTACACTCAGAAGATTGCTTAGATGTAATTTATTCTTGTGAATACATTTGGAGAATTTTTTTTTTTTTTATATTAATCCATAATACGTACTGGATCTTTACACCAAGCACATCCATCGAAGATTAAACATTGTCCACATCTTGTTCCGGAACAGACCTGACCGTCAGCTGTTGTTGCTAAATGAGGAAATAAATTAAAGAGGCTGGGTGGTCGTGGCCATTTTTAGACTATTTTGATCTCCATTAGAAGAAGAGCTCCATATAAAGATATAACGAAATGATCAAATTTTAAACCTAAAATTTATGAATTTTTTCTTTGCCAAATGATAGTTGATAGCTTAAGATATCATATCCCAAAATTTAAGTTATATCTGGTGGTTAATAAAAAAATAATTTGTTGACCACCTAGCCTCCTTAAAAGAAAAAGGTCATGTTATCAGAATTAAAAAAACACATCGCGCATACGTTTGAAAATAACCAAGGGATGTTATTACAACCAAAGCATTTTATACAATTTATCGGACATAAAATATCATGCTTATATAGGTACGATTGTGTAGAAATACTGAGATATTCATGCAGGAAGGAATTCATTTCCCGGTAAAGTGAAAACAATGACTAAATTTAGTAAGCAAGTCATCATTCATCATTGTGTTACTTAAGATTTTATATTTCCTTAATTACTATCTACCTTTCAACGCATAATGAATATCCAAAAAATTTATCTTGTAAATCGTGATATTTATTTATTTCCAAACTTTACATAAAATATTTCATTGTGGAAGATTTGAACGTGTCTTACCTGTATAATCTGAACATTAATTGGAAATCACATGTAGACAAGTTATTGAAAATGATTAATTTAAAACTGGAACTCATATTTTGACATGTTCACATTCCAAGAAAAAAATGCTAAAAAATTATATCGTTGGAGATAAATTTTCCGTTGTTAATCTTTATCTTTATCCCACGTATACCAGATAATGACAAGTATTACACGGAAGGTGTAACCAAACGAAAAAAGGGATACTTTTTCTTTAGTGGCACCAGATCACAATCCGCGATTTTATTTTAGACATCAGTGTCTTTTGTCTCACAATATATAATGAATCATAGGACTTTGGCATGAATTCTTTTAATTTTGTAAGTTTTTGTTTGCCTGATGATAGGGATTGCATTACATACATCAAAATCACATTTAGAGACATTATAATCAGAGTAAATAATGAGCTGAAAGATTTTAGGTACTAGTATCATACCGACCTGACATGAAGCTTATTACTTAAGTAACGTTTGTAGATACTCCAGTATTTCAATATTGTTTGTTAATTTGCTTTTCATGATTGCCTTTGTGAATTAAATTCAAATACACAAGCAAAACATGTTTGACACGGACAATTCTTTCCTGCTCTCCAAAACATAATATTTTGAAAAATTTATCGGTCTTTGTGCCATTGTTCATTAAGAAGTAAAAAAAAAAGTAAAAATATATGAATATATTTGAGGGAACAGAGGGAAGTCTGATGAAACAATTACAGCAAAACTGGGACCTATGAAATTAATTCGTTATAACCGTAATTCGTTATAACTGTATAAGAAATTCATTAAATTTATATAGCTTGGGATCCAAGATGACTTTGCTATATCTGTAAATTCGCAATATCCGTGTTCGTACTAAACGAGTTTTGCTGTATATAACTGAAGAACAGTAAAAGTTTTATAAATTTTCTCTAGAAAGACATATAAAGTAATATACTTACATAAAACAAGCAGAATTAATCCGATTTCTATAAATTCTGACATCTCTGTTCTAGTTTTATATATCCTTCATTTATATTTCACCTCTACGGTGTGCTGGGCACGGTCATATCAATATATTGAACATCTTTCCTAGTAAACTTTCTCAACTTCCTCAAAAAGGAAGTTTATTTTTACAAGCACTTAAAACGTCCTTCGCTACATGTATCTGGTTAAAAATGTTTCATCGACTATCATTCTTATCATCCTTATCCCTTTTCTTATCCCTATCAGATATCTGGTATTAAGTATATCATTTGAAAAATTAATAAACGAAAGTTAGTCACATTATATCGTGTGTCCGCAAGATTATAGGGCGACTTCAGAAAAGATATACATCCTAACGACTGCTTGATAAGTATGATAATGTATTTTATAGATCTACTGGTTTTTGTTAATTAACTTAATTTGTTAAAATTGTTCAAGATGCAAAAATATATACAGAGTTCTATAGCCCATATATGAAATGAGAATTTATAGTATTGTTACAAATTTATATTTTACCTTTATAGGTAAATTTTGTAACTCTCTATTTCCTGATAATTGTTTAATGATGTAATTTTACAGTAGTGAATTGCTGTGTAAATACATTGCTTAATGTTTCTTTGTTAATTTGTATCACTTCCCAACTTCTATTTATTCACAGTGGGGTACAGTCTGGTAGGGGGTTTCTTAGCCAGCATCTCTATTAACCCGCAGTATATAACTGTCATTGAGGGGATGATCAGTATGAATAGGGTTCAATTGGTTAATTGCTCTGTAGACTTGTGAAAATGTCGGAGGGTCCGTTAAAACGGGCTAGAGAGGATTTGAAAATTAAACATTTATTATACTAGTAGTTTGGTTAGGATTTACCAAGTGATACCTGATATTTCACTGAGATCTTTGGTAAAATTATTACACACCAAGGGCTTTCGGAGAAATTATTGGTGATAGCCTAAATTATTAAACGGCTATTACTTCTCTTATTCCTGGAAATTAATACCAGCACCAATTTTTCACCGAAGTTTACCAAGGTGTTGTGTATTGGTGACTTGGTAAATCTTGGTAAACACCGCGTTGCACCGAAATATTTACCAAGGTGTAGCTCTGATGATTGGTTAAAATATTAAGTTGCACCGAAATATTTACTAAGGTGTAGCTCTGGTGATTGGTAAAAATATTAGGGATTTGTAATAAATATTAAGGTATTCATATATAATTAAATATAACTTTAATAGGAAACTATTAGATAAGTTAGGAGAATAAAAGAAGTTGGGTTGAATTATTTTCATAAATTTCATTTTCTTTAAACTGTAAATAAATAGTAGAATAGAATTGGATTTATTACTTAAAGAAAGATGAAGGTTTACTACAATAATTATTGTATCAAATTGATACATTTGGGATTTATATTTCTGGATTTACTAGTGCAGTGGATTATAGTGTTACAGTGTGGATTCAATATGGAGTATTAAATAATTTTCACAATAATAAAAACCAACGTTCCCTATAAAAATTGTGTTGACGAGTTCGCCTCGCGTCACAGCATTACACTTTGATTCTTGGAAATGAGACTTACTTTGCAATAAATTTCTGTTCCATTTGACAATTCATAGACACATGATATTATCTTTGATTTTTTCTTACTTAAACACATTTGTTCAAACACTCTAATTACATGATATCCCACCACTGATGTTTTGAAGGTCCGTGTTTGCTCTGCTCCTATTTTGTATTGCTTTATGGACTTTTGATCTTGAATACTGTTTGTTATCTCCATATGTTTCATCGATGACCAGGTCATGACAAGGAGCACACGGTAGATTTTTCGGTCTACAAGGGATGCTCACACCTAGGGCACTTGCATCCACCTCTGATGTTTGTAAAGGGTCATGGTTGATTGACTTCTGATTTGAATTTTTTAGATAGACCTTTGAGCATAACTACTGTTTGTAATCTTCAAAATCAATGCTTCAGTAGGATTTTCATTTGATGGTGCTTGTTTTCCGGTCCTTACAAAAATTTTGCACACTTGTACTGACAAAATATTTATATCACACCTAAATGTCAACCGAAATACTAGTATATATTTAAAGTTTATTCTGCATTCATTTATCCTTTACATCAAGAGGAATGTTTTGCTGCTTTGGGGCACTTGAAAAAATTGTTATTTAGCAGTGAAAACTAGTTAAACTGCTTTATTCTGACATTCTCAGGGCACTTATTGCATCAGATAAGAAATTCACAATTTATTTATCAATATAACATGTAATCAGTAAAGTCTTTTTAATTATATCGAATAAATGTATTGGACATTTATGTTCGTTCCTCACTTGAAACATAATCTATAAAGCCTAGTCGAATCCATGAAGATATGAGTAAGCTAGAAACAACAAAGATATACAAATGAAATTCATACAATTTCATTCAGAGTTTTTTTGGCAACACTTCTACATATATCCATGTCATTTTCATACATGACCCTGTCCCCCATTTAAAATACTGTTTTTAAAGCTAGAAGAAAATTCATTTTTTATATACATAAGATAAACAAATTTTTGATTAAGCTTGAAAATTAAAGCAATCAGATCATTAATTGTTTCTAAAAGCAACATTTAAGGATATGTATTTATTGGTTCTATGGCTCGTTAATTATATTATAATATTCATTTATTTTTCATCTTCAGTGTCCACTGTCTTTTCATATGCGTGACACTGTTTCTCGCTGAGCGTCGTATCCACTTCCATTTCCTGTATCAAAATTTTGTCATCGTGTTCGTCAGGGTTAAACCCGGAGTCACACATAGGGTTATCTATCTTCGTCACACATTCTTTATAGATAGGATTCTCAGACTATAATAGATAAAATCAATCTTCACAAACGAAAAAATTTGATTGTGAAATGCTGTAAGAGAGAGAGAGAGAGAGAGAGAGAGAGAGAGAGAGAGAGAGAGAAACAGGCACTAAAGAAAAATTAATATGTTCAATCTATCAATCCTTTAGCACATTGATCATGTTTTACAAAAAGAACGATTCTAAGGCTTCAAAAACGACTTGAATTTTCAGTTCTCGTAGAATATAAAATAAAAGTTTCTATCAAATTATTAGATTTTTTATTAACAAATTGTGTATTTTTGAATAAGAAGATGTAAGTCAGTTTTTAAAGCAACTTATTAATAAATACTAGTATTTCAAAAATAATGATTTAATATCTTTCGATCAATTCATATCCTGGTTAAAAAAGATAATATTTAAGCTGGTATTCTATTTTCCTACCGTCTAGTACATGTATTTATCACTTTTCATAAAATTCAGTTAAATGAAAACATATATAAAATTTCAATTATTACAAAAAGGTGTTCCGAAGAGCCGTTTCATGTCAGATTTACTTAAAACAAAAATTTATTTACTTAAATATGGTAGTCTAATAAATCTAGGAGAATTCAGTCACACTAATAAAAATTGAAGGTTTGTGTCTCGTTTGATCTGATGAAAGGCACCTTTTGATTCGACGTGATGCGGCTCTCCGGATCAAGTTTTCTAGTTTAATGATAAAATTATAATTTAAACCCCTTTAAAATGCAATTTAAAGAGGCAGGATAAAAGGCAAAATGTGGCGAATGATATTCGTGAGCTTTTTAAAAATAACAAAAAAAGTTCATTTACTAACTTTAAGTAATACAATTCCTATAATTTAAGTAATTCTATTGATACTTAGTAAAAAAAGAGAATAACGTCATACATAGTTTGAAGGACGTCATCCTTTTCAGAGAGGGGTGATATGTAATGGGTTTAAAAAAGCCACAGTGTGGTGATCGGGAAATTTGATCACAGCGTCACGTCTTTAGTTGAAGTCAACAGGTAAACTGAATGAAACACAATTGGGGCATGTGCTTTTACCTTCTCCCAGGTTGGATTTAGTAATTCCTTTTCAAATTTTGAAAACTCCACGTTGTCGTATAGCGTTGTAAGCAACTTCCATATAATTAAAAGAATCACACCAATTAGTAAGATGGCTCCAGCGATGCTGAGTCCTACTAGCAGAAGATTTGGTGGACCCGCAGGGCACCCTGCCACATAAAGAAATGCAGTCTTATTTCTCATTATTACTATTTGATAAGAATAATAATCTTTATTCAGGAATAGGCATTCAAATGAGCATAATGCCTAAATAAGGGTGTTAATAACAGTTTTATTCTGACGTCCAAGATGTCCTAAAATATATTCAATTCAATTTTTTCTCATGGGAAAAATATTGCAAACAGATTTGATAGAATCAGGAAAAAAGCGTACAAAATTTTCCGACATGGTGAGAGGTCGACACGATATAACAAGTTTTTATGCAGAATTTTTAAGTTGCTGTGTTGATAAAATTTTGAAAAAATTCAAAGCCAAAAGGTTTTTGCTTAGACGTCAAATGTAAGTAAAGTTGTGAAAATAGATACTTCAATCGGGTGTTTTTTCTTCAATAATGATGCTGATAAATCTTTGAAATGAGATGTAAATTTCTGTTATTTTCAATGATGAATGAATTTTACTTACATTTAGTTTCTTTCACAACAATCTTCCTACTTTCATCGCTGTCGTCTTCATATATCAATATCAGTATTATTATATCAGTTATATTTACAACAAATAAAATTAAACCGATAAAAAATAAAATCATCAAAAAATTAATGGTAGATTTAAAAAAAAAAAGTTATTTCATTTAATCTTGACTAAAAAATGCATAAATAAACTTACGGACATTAAAATATATGAAACAACCGAATGAGTCTTCAATGATACAGGATTTTATTGTCACTGGTGCATTCTGGTCCTCTGCAGCTGAAATATTCATGAACATGTGCTGGGTATGGAATTCATGTTTTGTAATAATAAGAGTCAGGCATGTTGCAAAAAATATAACTGCTATAAAAATAAAAGAACATATAATTGTATACAGTATTTTTTGCTGCAATTTTGTATGTACTTGCTGGTTGGAGGTATGGTGCTGTTTCGACGTTCTTACAACGTTGTTTGCAGACACTTGAATTGTACAGACCCTGGTTAAAGGCCACGCATTCTGCACAGTCTTTATTGTCGATACATACTCCTGGACAATGCTAGACATTAAAGATCATAAAGATACTTTAAAGAGTAAAGATTAAAGTAAAGATACTTTAAAAGTTCAACAATAATAATTTACCAATACATGACATCTGAATACTTTATATATACATGATATAAGTAAACATTATAACGATATAAAACAAATTAACATTAAGGAGGCTGGGGGAACAACAAATACATATCAGATGTAATTTCCTTTTTTAGATATGGTATCTCTAGCTGTCAACAATCATTTGGAATAGAAACATTTCATACATTTCAGTTTTAAAAATTTATATTTTTTGTATATCTTTATATGAAGCTCTTCTTTTAAAGAAGATCGATATAGTCTAAAAATGGCCATTTTCCCGCAACCCTCTAAATGAAAGTAAATTACAAAGACTGATTTTATCGATAGTCTTACAGTACAAAGGTTGCACAATCTTCCTCGGAAGCCAACATTACATACACAGCGTCCGCACTCACACGCACCGTTACCAGAGCATATAGTCTACAACAGTGTGAAAAAATACGATAGAGTGTGCTAATATTATTTTTTTAGACTATATCTAGTAAAATAAAGAAGATCCATGTATCCATCTTTAAAAGTCAAAAGGTTCTTACTTCAGTTTGTCAAGATGTTTATATCAGATTTAAATACCTTTCAGCATATTTTGCCGAAACAAATTTCACATGCAAACATATAAACTTAAGTATTCCTGACCAATATTTCGGGAACTCATATTTTTTATCTATATATCTACGGCATATTGGTTCAAAAGTAAAAAAATATATATATTTCCTATGGTGTGAATGATTATAATACTCTTTTCTGTATTATAATTTCATTAAAGATTCACATAAGAGTTTTGAAAACCTGTCAAAAAGAAGTGTCAAGAAAATAAGTGTGAACTTAAATATTTCATAATTCATATATGGTAGACAAAGTGTTGCAAAAACACCTGAGAAAAAAATGTTTTCCCTAATTATGGTTTTTTTTGGTAAACGAAATCATTTTTTTCCTAAATATATTAAGGTGTACTATTTTTTTTTAGATAAAGGCTGATCAAAATGTGAACACTTACTTCGTTGTTGCTTTTACAAGGATCCTCAGATTTCAAACATTCACAAGCATCCCCTGTATAATTTTCGTTACAAACACATGTTCCACAGACGCATCGTCCCCGTGAGAGACCTGAAAGTGAATTAACTTTGCTAATTTTATTTTTATAATAAAAATCTTATTTGATCATCTTTTTTAAAAATTTAAAAATTTTTAAAATTTAAAATTTTTTAAAAATTTAATTAATGTCATTCTTATTTAATGACATTTATTTATATATAATCGTATGTAATTATCTTTTTGCTGCTTTGCAAAATGCGTTTATAACCCATGAAAGAAATAAACAAACCACCGCAGAGTAGTTTATCATAGGTCCTACAATTCTCGTCATTACATTCACATTTGTCTCCACTGTAGCCTTTGAAACATTCACACTTCCGGCACGTGCATTGCCCGGCACTACTGCAGATTCTATTCAAATTTAAAAACAAAAATGTATCAATAATACAGAAGGAATTGAAAGGAATAAAACGTATGGTTTTTAAAGATATTTGAATTAGAAGAACAAATAAATCTACTCAAATTAAATTCTGCATTTTTTTTTCAGAGAATCACAATTGCAATATAAATTTAAGTATATTTTCTATGCCACATACATCGGACAAAATAATATTGGTTTTAGATAATCTTAATACATGTACGTTTATTTTTCTAAACAATAGTGTCTGTAGAATTTTGTTATATCTTCTCTTTTTTTATATATTTGATCAAATAAATGGACCACACTTCATCTTTTTATTTCTCTGAATTTATACATTTGTACGCACTTCGTACTTCGTGCATATATTTGCAAAATATCATTTTCCGTATTTTTTTTTTTACATAAAGTAATGATTTATTAATTGTTTTGTTTCTAAACAGGAAAAAGTTTATAGTATGTCTGCATAAATTAAACTAATTATCGCATATTATGGTGGACTGAAAAAAAAATCTCATGCATAAAACATGGTATTTAGCACATTTTAATTAAATAGGCACAGACGGTTAAAAGTAACCAGAAGAATCTTTCAGTTTAATATATGTAGACTTGATCTTTGAGAACAGTTGATTAATTTTAAAAAGCATAAAATTTAGGTCGTTACCCATTTTCTGTACCGCATATCTCCTCCTCGGTCCCCCTGTTATCACATTCACACCTGTCCCCTATCCAGCCAGGGTTACAATTACAGATCCCACACTCAAGGGTTCCGTGATAGCTGCAGTTAGAACTTTTTGGCTCCTACGACAATAGATAACATGTGAAATTGTGGCAAGAGTTAGAAACTTTACTCATCCATATGCTATGAATCTAAGAATAAAGATGAAATATGCAAGGTACAGTTGATATTGACATTGACATGTAGCTCTTTCGAATTATCCAGCATTTTTTACTAAAACGTCAAGACATTTGAGGAAATTTTAAAGTTAACATTTCTGAAAAAAATCCCGAAGAGGAACGCTCGGTTTGGTTCACATAAGAATGCATGCATAAAAAATGTTCGCAGAAATATGGTTACAAATGTACCTAGGCTCAGTGAAGGAAGGTAATATTGGTGATGGTAAATGGACATAAGTCTTCGAATTTCGGAGGGAAAAAAATCTAAATTTGAATGAGTTTATGAACAACCTGTGCATATATATGCTGGACGAATTGTTAAAGTCAGAAACAGGTTTGTTGACTTGGTCATCGCTTTGCTGCTCCTCAGAACCCCATTGTAAAAAGGGGTAAATTTTGATTTTAAGAATGATATTGCTATAAACATGGAACACGATGAGGCACTCAACATAACTACATGTGACTATTATTGTACACCATTTGACGAAATGGAGTTTATGCCAACAGGAAAGATGAATTTGATGAAGCTGAAAGAATAAAACGAAAGAAGAGGAGGTTCATGGGTCACACCTGAGCATCATGTTACAACTTTCCAACAATTGACTTTTGTTCTTTCTTTTAACCAGAGGCCATGAAATTCATAATTTTGAAGAAGGCACTAGTGCTCATTATAATTATACGCCTAGCATACTTATATTGCTTCCTTATTACCCATGGACAGAGCAGGGGGGATGTATTTCAACTGATCAGTAATAATCAGCAAGAATCAGTAGTGCCTCACACCCCACAGAAACCCTTGACCCTGGTGCCATACATTTTTTACAATATTGGAAATGGCATCCTTGCTTATCATAAATGTTTGATTATCTTTTGGTAATAACTGGCAAAAGTAGTAACACAAGTCAATTTAGCTACAGGAAGTTTAAAAGAACGTTTGATTATTCCTTCAATAGTCCAACAAAAGGAAAAGTGGAATTCGGGATTTTTTTATGAGAAAGATGTCAATAGTTAGATAGTTACAGATACAGACATCAAATTTGCTGTTCTTCAAAGTAGAAATTATGCTCAGAATTTTTTTTAAATTAAACAAAACATAAACATAAATCTTGGGAATGATGATAGTCCTTGCAAATACACTAGACAAAATTGCTAATGCACCACCTCACGGAATAAATATTTTATTTTTACAAACATGTTTACGATGCATTTGATATACAAATATGCTACTTTAACAAAAACTATGGCATATTAATGTCAAACCCTATAACTAACTACAATATTTATTGAAGTGTGGCCAAATCATAGGAAAAAATCGTGCCTTTTCCATTTTTGAAGAAAAAAAAATTCAATTTTTTTCTTTGTATTTGTGTTTTTTTTCCATTTGTACTAATTAAAAGCTCAGAAAAAAGTATGGGGCGTTTGACGCTAGAAGAGAGTGCAAAAACAGACAGTATGGCGCCTTCAGGGAGTTACTTTAGAGAAATCTGGTAAAAAAAAATTAAAACAATAAAAAGCTTATGAATTCCACTTATGAAAAATTGTTCCAAATAGATTAACAAACATAAAAATGTTTACTATGAATAACCACAGCATTAAGTAAGCAGCATACAATAAGTTGAAAATGACTGTTTGTTACTTGATTTTTAACAAGGGGACTACTCCTGTGGCAATCTCACAGACCCCTTTACTGATCAAGAATTTCATATCTGTGCAAAAATGGTGCGCGGTGCACAGTTGGAAATTAGTTTTCGGACAAGAAGGTCATTCAAGGGATTTTTCATGATACCTAGACGATTGTCAACCCCACTGCTTTGGAAATAATACCGCATATTTGAGTTCATCTCAGAATATGCGTCGTTATCAAAGCTCTATCCTCGATATTATATGTCATCATTCACCTCCTTTTTGTGAAAAAACTAATAAATGAGATAAGCCGGAATTTATTTATCCATCTATACAGTGTCGGTACTTAGTCACTGGGTTTACGGGTTATCTCCCCTTTTCTATGCATCAATGAAAGTGAAAGGTGGGTGATGAAAGTATCCGATTTTTTTTTTTTATTATGAAATATTTTATCATAATTCCAGTTTTTAAAGTTAAGTTTCAGTCAAAGAATTAACATGGTTTATCTTATTAACATTGATTTTGCTCGATGGCAAATATTTCATTGGATTGAAACAGATCGATTTGCCACCCGTCCATACTTTAAACTTTGGCACATAGTACAAGAGGTAATAATATGGTAATAATAACCAACTTCATCAGCAGATTTTGAATGAAGAAAAGCGTACTTAGTGAAATATTATTTAAACAAAATGAGCTGCTGCTAATGTAAAAATAGCGATGAACTTTATTTGGTCCATGTTATTCAAGGTCATTGGTCAAACATCCATACACATGGTAGCCTATATTCAGATACTTAGTTCCCTTGGCCTATCTTGCAGGGGTTTAGAAAATTCGAATGGGAATATCCATAATTATAATTCTTACAATATGTGTATGCTTTTGTAGCTTTGAGTTTGTTGCATTTTATCAGTTTATTTAAAATATTTTGTGATATTTTGATAAATAAATAAATAAATAAATAATTAATTAATTAATTAAATAAAATAAATGTTCAAGGACAGGGCTACCCTAGCTGCGCCATACTACCTTTTTCCTTAAAACTGAATAAATAGAAAAAATACAGATTGAGAATTAATAAAAGTTTGATAAATCTATTGCATCATGTCTTTAGAAATGTTATTTAGCTAGATTTACAAAGGAACAGAACTCTAATTAAAGTATATAAATTTTCAATCAAGGCCATTCCAGCTTTAACAAGGGGCCAAAGAGAGGCATGAAAGATATGGAATTGCGACAAAGGCAGTAATCAATTGTGAAATAAAATAGTTCAAAGTAAAATACAGAACAAGTTGTTATGTTATATTACAATAATGCATTTTATGTAAATGAATTAAGCATCAAGTAAGAGGTGTATTTGTTTATACAAATTTACAGTTGTACACATGCTATGACAAAACTCAAGGTAAGTAAATACGATATGATGACTAAATAGATTTCGAGTCAAAAATTTCATTTGGATAGAAGCATTACAATGAACAATTCAGGCTGTAAAATCTAGGGGGCATAGGTTCCATGCACCCGAGTTGAATTGTACATTGTCTGTCAAATCTACATAATAGTTATATTAGGACCAGCAGCATCCTCACCTATTCGGATATCTCTTCTCTTAGGGGGCTTGACAAGGGGGACAACTTCAGACTCAACCAGAACAATAACAATTTGTGCATAGTAATTTAGGACCTCAATGGTTCACGAGTTGATATAGACGGGTACCTGTAAAGTGCGAAACGAAATAGAAACGAAACGAAACGAAACGAACTGAAACGAAACGAAATCTGCCGAAACGAAACGAAATGTACCGAAACGAAACGAAACCTACCGAAACGAAACGAAATCAAGACGAAACGAAACGAAATCAAAACGAAACCTGTCGAAACGAAACAAACAGAACATATGGTCTATTTTCACTTCATTTGAAATTTATATAGTTCAAGCACCACAGGCAATTGTTTCGCTTCAAGCTCATACATAGGCGTCGGAAGAAAATTGAAAAGGGGGGGGGGCTTAACCAACAAAAAAGGTAAACCCCAATTTTCAATGCCTATATAAAACATTTCTTCGCAAAAAAGTGGGGGGCTAACCCCCCCACCCACCCCCCCACCCCCAACCCCGCTTCCGACGCCTATGTCATATTTTGTTAATATCTTACTGAATAATTTACCTACTTAAAAAGACATTGTTCGCTTCGAGAGAATTTTTTCTTGTCAGTTAAATCGTTTTAGATGTCTCTGGTCGAGCCTCTTCATTGCAAACCACTCATTTCTTCCTCGAAAATTATCTCGATAGAATAGGACCGTATGTACGTAGAAAGGATACACAAGATTTCGGTTGGAGTTATATGTATAATTGAACGATAAAACCAGACACCTCGGAATGGAATACTAAATACTCTAAGTCTCTGGTTTATCCTATGTTTTAAGACATTCGCAAAAGAAAAGAAAAGTGACTTTAATTCGACCCGTACATAAAC